GTAGATGATTTTTAACAAACAGTGTGGATCTTGTATAAATTACGTATTATGTTTAAAAAAATAGCATGTCATATTTTTATATAATGTGTTACCAAAAATTTTTAGCGTGTCCTCCAAAATATTAATATGAAATTTGGAAATTTCTGTCACACTAATAAAGATTTTTCAAATAAATCAAAATGAAAGTCATTTTGGAATTTGTTTTGTATGTAATAAGGCCACATAGTGTATATTCCCTAATAAGATTCCTGCAATATTTGTATTATTACTATGGAATTTCACTACATAATTATAAATCTTTCAAATCTAGAAGAGTTTGTCTCATGCTATTAAGTATTAATAAAAAATATCAAAATATAAAAATTTTAAAACTAGAAGCACAAGTAAAAAAAATATAATCTCCAAATCTAAAGTGAAATCAAAAGACAAAAAAAATGAGTACGCGAAAAATGAGTATGCTTTTGTAGAGAAACTTATTGTTGTTAAATGAGTATGCTTTCGATCCAAAAAAAAATGAGTATGCAAGTTTATTTGGTGATGAGGACTTCGAATCCATGCTCATCCGAGAGGAGGATGAGAAAATGATCCAAGCAAAAACATACCAAGACATGTTCCGATGAACTAATTTCCCGAGTCAGTTTGGACGATAAAGATCTAATAGCGATCAAAGGAGGATTTCAGCCCATTTAAGCCCAAGACCCATAAGCCTTGATCGATCCTGATTTTCCAAAACACAAGGGAGTCATGAAGAACCACGAGCCTAGGAAGACCAACATGTATCCGCCCAAAATCGAAGACACAAGTGCACGGTAAAAATCCTTACTCGATAGCATGTGCAGGGCCCGAGCCACCTTGGCATGTATTTTTGGGCATCTTAAGAGTAGAGATCCTACTAGGCCTGGGAATTGGACCCGATCGGTTTATTCGGATTCGGTTTCTCGGTTTTCCGGTTATTTCGGAATTTGAATGCTATTCCGAAACTAACCGACTAAGATTTCGGTTCGGTTCGGTTCGGACACGGTTATCTCGGTTTTTGCAATTTGGTTATTTCGGTTTAGTTGTTTTGGGCCAAAAATGGGATGTCTGTTTTTTTTTGTGGAATTAAGTGTTGGGCCAAAAATGGGCTGTCTGTTTTTTTTTTGTGGAATTAAGTGTTGGGCTTTCTCTAAAAAAAACATAATTGGGGACAAATAAAAAAAAAAAACAAAGAAAAAGAAGATTTTGTGTCGAGAAGAAATCGACGAAGCAACAACGACCGACGAACTGATGACTGGAGACACCGGCGGCGAGATCTGTAAGGTGGAGCTCGTGTATAGATCTGAAAGGCGAAGAAGATGATGATGTTCAAAGATGGTGAATCGAAGAAAAAGATGTTGGTGATGGATCAAAGAAGAAGAAGCTGTTGAGTAATAGATCGAAGAAGAAGTTGAAGAAGAAGATGATGAGTGATTGATGAATCGAAAAAGAGAAAGAAGATTGAAGAAGAAAAGGAAGATAAAGATGATGATGAATCGAAAAAGAGAAAGAAGAAGAAGAATAAAATGAGTAATCGAAGAAGATTATGAAGAAGAAGAGCGGCTAAGGCATTATTAGGTTAGGGTTTCTGTATTTCGGTTAACCGTTCGGTTTGCTCGAACCGAACCGAAATTTTTGGTTAACCGAACTAAATTAAAACCCTTTCCGATCGGTTTAACTCAATTAAGTGGAACCGAACCGATTTGTCCAAATCTCGGTTTGGTTCGGTTCGGACAAATCGGTTCGGTTCAAAATCCCAGGCCTAGATCCTACCCAAACACAACAGGATTCGCCTGATGCCACCAAATCAACTCGAGGGGCATTTAAGGAAACTCGCTCGTCAAACCCCTTAATCTAACAACGCTTGTTTCTTCATGATTTCTAGACACTCTAGATCCTCTATGAGGGTTATAAAAAAAGAATAGTACAAGAAATCACTTGTTCCATATACAAAGGAGATCATACTTTTCTATTTATGACCTCTTTTACACATTGTCATTAACTTCTTCTTTTCTTTTTAATTAAAGCTGATTGAGAGAGCTTCCCCTACACACATCATTTGGATGCACAAGGCCAACCCCAACGTCTCCATTCAATTTGAACCATCCTTTGCATTTATTCTTGATTTATTTGTTTCCATCTTGTGATTTTTAGACCATTACCTAGTTGAGTCCAAAATTTATAAAAGTTCATTATTCTCCACTGTAAAAGTACATATTCTTTAATTTATTGAATCAAATTGGAGTTAACATGCCTTTTAAGCTCAAATGCTTGTTCTATGTATCAATTGGTGTGTTGTAAGTTTTGCTGAATTTGGTTGAATTTAGTTGAATCTAACGATTTTTTTTTGTAAGTTGTTGAATTTAACTGAATTTGATAGTTTTTTTAGATAGCAAATAGTATTAGCGGAAATGTTGAATCTAATTGAGGCCTTGAATGGCTGCAGTTTTTGGATTATGATTTTTCAAAAATCCAATAGTCACTCATTCATGATTCTACAAAAAAGTAGATTTTCTAAAAAATAGAAAAGCAGATTTTAAGAGATTTTATCTATTTTTTCATAGAATCCAAAAACCAAGTTTTGTAGGTCTTCTAACAATTTACGTCACATTTTTTTTTTCAGTTTTTTTTTATTATTATTTTAAGTATGCTATTTTTACTATTTACCAATTCATTCAAAACTAAAACCCTTTTCTATGGGTTTTTTCCTCAAGACTTGCCGTCACCAAATTAATATTATGTAGAAAAACTAAAAACCAAACAAATTACCATTCAAGATTTTGCAAAAACTAAAATCTACACCAAAAATCAAAAACCACAAAAATCAAAAATCAAAAACCAAAATCCAAAAATTAGAAACTAAAAACCAATAAAAACTACCAAAATCCAAAATCTTGCAATATTTCTTTGTTGTGTTACCATTTAGGTATGATATATTGTTCTTTGAGGAACTCGGTAGGCTTGTCCATTTTGGATTTCTAGTCCGTTCTGACCCGTACATGTCCCTAAGTTTTCGTCCCATGTACATTTCTATTTAATAATTATCAGCTAAATTTATTTTAACACATACCGAAATAGAAAAGGATATCCAAATTATTCATTTGGGTATTTGAAAATTCTAAAATTATTAAAAAAATGTCTTTTTCAAAAAGAAATTATTAGAATTCTCAAATACATGTTCCATTACCTAGATTAGTGGGAGTTTGAGTAGTGATTTTTTTTAATCAATTTCCCGAATCTTTCCCATTATTTAAATTATCAATTTTATAGGGAATAGATAGTACTTTATTTATTTGAATTATACGTTCTGATATTTACGTGCTATTTTTCGTTATGATATTCCAAATAGACACCCATATATAGAATTAGGAGTAAAGGCGAGAGACGGGTTTTTTTTTTTTTAACGTCTTCTTTATTAATCTTAAAAAGAGATTACAAATATATCAATGAGCATACAAGTGGGAACTCTACAATCCATACAACCAATATTTAAGTTCAACGAAATAATCGAAAAAGTGAAATTACACGTTGCTTTCTTTTTTAGGTAAGCCTTACACGCTAACAGATTTATCAATCTGTTATTTTCCTTGATCGTCTTCGTCTTCAGTCTAGTTTGATTTTCTTGTTTGGCTATCATCTCTTTTATGAAACTCCAACACGTTTTTTGAAAATCAAAAAGTTGCGATCCATCAGTTACATCGCAAACCATATAATCATTTCCATCACCCGCGTGAGACGACGACATTGTTTTGGTTGTAAATATTGCCCATGAGAGATCCATGATCTCGATTAAATGCAAGGTTCTTATGATTTGATTCCATGGCGGTTTCCAAGGCGGTCGCCGTTTCCACAACAAATCTGTAAAGATTTGTTTCAAACATCGGTAAGCCACCAAACGATCACGATTACCACCGGAAACTAACTCAAAACTAACAATAAATGTTAGAATTGACATATAATCGACAAGATATGTCAAAATAAATACAGCGTAGCCATTGGAAATTGCAATTCGGTAAGGGACCCAACACATCCAAAGGCTCATGTTCACTTCCATAGATCGTCCACCATGTATATTGAACAGAGGCTCTTTGAATCCATACATAATTGCTTTTTCTTACAGATCTAAAACTGAATTAAAAATAAAGAGAATAAACGGAACCGCCGACAAGTGCCAGCGGCCCTAAACCAATCAGAGAAGATGGAGGCCAAGGAAGAGAACGGTTACTGGTTTCGCTTTTTCAATCGCCCGACGGTTATCTTTCCTTTCGATTATAACCAAAAATCATATTTATTTTATTTTATTTTTTGGAAAAGCTGTTTATTTTCATTTTTTTTAAGATAATAGTTTATTTAAAGCAGAAATAATTTAAATTTTTATATAAATTTATAGCATATATATATATATATGTATGTATTGACAAAAAAAAACCAATATATAATGACTCAAGAAAATAAACTAATTAATTTGCCAACTCAAGTCAAATATTATATGAAGTCTTACCCAACGGAACAAGTCTTATGAAATATTTTGGTCATATAGAACTCAAGTGGCAAGGTTATTAAAATTAAGAAACTCGTCATTATCTTCGGCACGATACATAATAATGGTGGGTTTGTTAATAGGTATCCGTCAGATCTAAAAGTAGTAGTATTATAATGTTTCAAATTGAATTATTCTGATATCAATAATGTAGAAACTATTACTTGGACATCAAAGCTCTAGTAATAAAATAATTTTGCCATGTAAATCGCGCTTCGTTGACTTTAGCATTATATAAATGGTAGATGGTTAGTGGTTACCTGTTAGATTTAGATCTGAAGTTTAGTTTTAATAGTATATACATATCCCAACAGCTAATAGTTTGATAATCAAAAGTGTAGTTGTTATATAACCCGCCATTACTTGAAATCTAAGCTCGATATTTTACAGGAAAAGAGCATATATAGTTTTGAAGATTATATTCAACTTTTTCTCTTTCTTTCTTTTCTTCCTTTTTTCACTCCTTTTTCTGATCTACGTAAAACTTGTAATAATTACGTATGTCATGGAGCCTTTGAAGATAAACTTACCGTTCCACGAGCATCCATTAACGCCTGTGAAAATAGAGTCGAAGTGTGATTGGTGCGGACTCAAATTCAAAGGTGTAACTGATGGCTACAAGTGCGACTCATGTGTTTTTGGTTTATTCCACAAGACATGCGCCAACAATGAGAATATCCCCCACCCTTCTCAAACGTGTGGCAACATTCTATATCATACTTTCAATTTCTATAGCGGCGAGAGGAGATGTGCAGGATGTAGAGAGAAGATCTACGATAGCTATATTTTTATATGTAACGATTGTGTTTTGGTACCTACAAGAAAAGGAAGATTTGGCTCTTCATATTTCCATTTCAACTGTGCTAAGTATCCACCGTCGGAGGTCATTGATGTTCCTCAGCACCATGACCATAAACTCAAGCTAGAGACGGTGAGAAGCTGCTTCACTTGTGCAGCTTGTGGAAAAGATTGTGATGGATATTCCTACAAATGTCACGAATGCAATTTGAAGTTTCATGTAAATTGCGAAAAGTATCCAGCAGAGGTAACCCATTTTTCCCACTCCTTACACCCTCTAAAACTCTTCAAGGATGAACCACCTGCTTATACTGATGGAAAATGTCGTTTGTGTGGAGAAAAACTTGCTAATTCCGAAGTCTTTTATCATTGTTCCACTTGTAACTTTAGCTTAGATCTCCAATGTGTTTTTCATCCACCAAAAAAAAATCCTCACGACCTAAACATCCATGACCATCAACTCACCCTTATGCCAAAATCCATCTCTTTTACTTGTACCACTTGCGGGCTAAATGGAGATCGGAGCCCATACGTATGTCTTCCATGCGATTTCACTATCCACAATGATTGCTCTAGATTTCCATGGGTTATAAACATCAACCGCCACTATCATCGGGTTTCACGCACTTCTCTTATTGGTGTGGTGAATTCGGTATGTGGAATTTGTCGCAAGAAAATGGATTAATTGGAGTTGTGGGGGTTATTCTTGTAAGAGGTGTCCAAGCTATGTTTTTCATACAAAATGCGCAACTAGAGAAGATGTATGGGACGGCAAAGAAATGAAAAACGAACCTGAAGAAGAGGAAGATATTCAACCATTCACAGTAATCGATGAAAACACAATACATCATGTTAGCCATAAAGAGCATAACCTAAGACTTGATAAGTCTGGTATCTTTATCAAGGATAGGATTTGTGAGGCATGCGTTTATCCTATCTATCACCATTCTTTCTACAGCTGCATGAGTTGTAGTTTCATTCTTCATGAGAGTTGCGCTAATCTACCTTTATGGAAACGGCATGTGGTAAGCAATGAACGGTATAGATATAAATACTGGGATTATTTCTTTAGATGTATGGCTTGTGGATTACTTTCCAATGGTTTTAAATACGATGCTACAAGAAGCATATTGGATGTGCGCTGTGCTTCAGTTACTGAGCCATTTGTCCATAAAAGTCATCCTCATCCCTTATTTTACACATCACCACGAGGAGTTTGCAGTGTTTGCAAAAAAGAAGCACATCATGTGCTCAGATGCGTTGAAGATGATTGTGGATATGTCATGGACTACAAATGTGCTCTATTACCATATGAGGTAAAACATAGTGTCGACCATCACTTTCTCTCTTTATGCTATGGTGAAGAAAATGCAAGTGGTAAATATTGGTGTGATATTTGTGAGAAAGAAACAGATCCAAAAACATGGTTTTACACCTCTAAAGATTGTGAGCTTACTTTGCATACGGATTGTGTGCTCGGTGATTTCCGAGGTCTCAAGCCTGGAATCGCTGAAGATGAGTACGTCCACCACGTCCCAAGAGATTTTAAGGTGGTTCGCAACAACAGTATGTCTCGACCACTCTGCAAACAGTGCAAGTCTCGTTGCATATTCCCGTTCTTCTTGGAAACATGGAATAAAAATTCCATCCATAATGGATATTATTGCTCTGAATCTTGTTTCTATTCCTAATATTGTTATGTAGATTATATATATATATATATATATATATATATATATATATATATATATATATATATATATATATATATTGTTTTTTCCGGTTCTTTTTTTTTTTTTTTAATGTTTGATGTGTGACTTTGATGTATTTGACAACGACCATGTTCTTCTGTATTTTCGTCTGTGGCTTTAACATGAATAAAGAACTTCTCATTCGCCAAGGCAACTATTATTTAGGGATATTAGTACTTTCAAAATAATATATTGCGATATTTAGATATCTAGTAGTAATTAAGCTTAATTACTAATAAACGTTGTGCATAAAATATAAGATATGGTAAGTTTAATGTGATATAACAAATATTAATTCATATAATAATAATGAACAACAATATATAAAACTTCAAAAACAGAAACATTTAATTTATTTTCTCACATGTACAAAACAAATCTTCATATGCTATCATCCCTATCAAGATATACAATAATCAAAGCAAAAATAACATTTTTAATCCTCAAAGTGTCATTAGAAATCACTTTAAACCTCGAAATAATTCCACTCGCATTATAAACCACCATTTTAATAAATAAAAAATTGTTTTAAATTTAAATAAAATTAAATAAATTTATATGAAACAAACAGAAATTAATTGTTCCGTCATTTTTAGGGCGGTACAAACAGAAAGTAAATTTGGAGATTTAAAGTGTTATTAAAATTATCTTGGTGGTTTATAGTGTTAGTAAAATTCTTTCGAGGTTTAAAGTGTTATCCGGTGACACTTTGAAGGTTAAAAATATGATTTTTCAATAATTAAAACAGGTAAGAACTTGTACTATGCACGGGATAAATTTTATGCGATATAATTTTATAAATAATCGTATTTATGGTAAAAAAGAATATATTAGATTAGTTTATTAATTTTTTTTACTTTATTTCAAGAGTATATAGTGACTGTATTTGGCTCTATAATATGTTTTAAACACAAATCAAAAATCGAACCGGAGTTTTTCCAGCTAGATTATTGGATCTCTGGGCCAAATTGGTACTAATGGTTTAACGAATTTCAATTAATATATATATATATATACATATATATATAGCACACACATATGTGAGGTTAATAATCGTACTTCAATATAAATTATATATTTCATATATAAAAATAAATCATTAGAGGCATATATATAAGACTTTTATCAAAGAAATGTATACAAATTAGTTATGTTCATTTTTTAAAAAATAATTTATATTAATAAATATATAGATGTCCGTAGTACATGATATTTATATGATAAATATGTATCAAATTTTAAGTCATATAATTTAATGGAATATATTTTACAAATAAATATGTCATAAGTTTAGGCATATAATTAATATTGTGTTTTCAATATGGTGTTTTATAATTAGGAAAGAATTTGTATGATGTTAAATTCAAAATATTTACATATGGTAAGTTTAGTAGTATTTATATATGTTTGGCAATATGTTTTATATAATAAGAATTATAGAAGTGTTTGGTTAGTATAATTGTAGAATTAAATAAATAAAAAATAAAATTACTTAGAAAAATGTGGGCTTACACATAAACAACAATGACTACTATCTTTTAATATACAGAGAATATTATTTGTGCATTAACTATTATTGTATATATGCATATATAATTGTTTCCATGCATAGCAGGACCATCATCTACATGTTTGTTATAAACCACATGTTGGATGGACTCCATAACCGTGGACCTTATGCATATTCTAGAAGGCCCATGTCCATGTCCTAGAAGGCCCATGCCCATGTTCTTGAAGATTCTCCTTATGACGGCCTATATTGTACTTAGTGGGCTTTTGGGCTTTAGGGTTTACTAGCCCAATGGGGATTTGTCTCCCCTCATCATGTATATATATGTATCGAAATCTCATTCATTAATCAATAGAACAACACAGTTTACAACACGTTATCAGCACGACTTGCTTTTAACGAAAACCCTAAAACCCTAACCCTAAAAATCACGATACTGTTCATCGCCGTACTGTTCATCGCCGACACTATTCATCGCCGACACTGTTCATCGCAACACTGTTCATCGCCGACACTGTTCATCGCGATACTGTTCATCGCAGTACTGTTCATCGCGGCACAGTTCATCGCCGACACTGTTCATCGCCGACACTGTTCATCGCGACACTGTTCATCGCGACACTGTTCATCGTGGTACTGTTCATCGTGGTACTGTTTGCGGTTCGTTGCAGCAGCGTGAGTTACCGAGGTCTTTAGCTCCCGGTTCTAGTCCATACAACCCCATAAGGTGAAAGGTAACATCAAAACCCTAAAGCTAAAGAACCAACAATTGAACTTGAAAGTTAAGCAAAGAGAAACCCTAAAACGAATGATGATTGATTAAGTGATTGCTTTGCTTGTATGATTTGATTGCTTGTTTGATCCGATTGCTTGTTTGCTCGATTGTTTGACTCGTTTAGGTTGCTAGAAAAAGTTGATTATCGCTTAAGCTAAACTCGCCTAAGTTGCTAGAGAAGTTTTAATTGTCTAAACCTAAAATCGCAAAACGAAAATACATAAGCTAATAACCGAAACTTTAAAGGTCTCAAAACCCTAAAACCTAAAATCCTAAATAAAATAGGAAACCCTAAAATCTAGGAAACCTTAAAATCCTAAATAAAATAGGAAACCCTAGATAATAGGAAATCTTAACAACCCTAAATCCTAAATAGGGAATCTTAAAATCCTCAATAAAATAGGAAACTTTAAAATTCTAATAGAAAGCATGAAAACCTAAATAAAATCCTAAATCCTATTGTACTCTAAATCCTAATTAAATTAGGAAATTCATAAATCCTATTCAAGATAGGAAAACTTTAAGAAATAGAAAATTTCCAAATCCTAATTAAAATAGGAAATCTTAAAATCTAAAATCATAAGTGAAATAGGAAAATTAATCCTAAAGTAAAGAGGAAAGTAAATCCTAAAAAGGAAAAGGAAAAGTTAATCCTAATAAAAAGAGGAAATCTAATCCTAAGCAAAAGAGGAAAGTCAAATCCCTAAGTAAATCGATTCATGGTTCGGTCTCAAATACCGCATGACACTAACGATTACATGATTTTGACTCAAAACTTTTCCTTGTAGATGTTGAATTACAACTTGTACTTTACTGCCCTAAATTTCTTAGGAGATAATTATTTTAAAATGGGCAATGGATACTAAGATTATCCTAAAGTCAAAAGGACTTGGTGAATGTATCTAATAAGGCAAGAATGCCAAGAGAGAAAGATAGATACAAGACAATATTAGCCACCATCTTATTGAGAGTCTCATAATCCAGGACTATAAGTCCGTGGATGAGTCTATTGCTAGATGAAAAAAAAATAAAAATAATGACTTACAGATAAAAACAGTGAGTTATGACCTCATAGATTAACCCCAT